TTTTTTTTTTTTTTTTTTTTTTTTTTTTTTTTTTTTTTTTTTTTTTTTTTTTTTTTTTTTTTTTTTTTTTTTTTTTTTTTTTTTTTTTTTTTTTTTTTTTTTTTTTTTTTTTTTTTTTTTTTTTTTTTTTTTTTTTTTTTTTTTTTTTTTTTTTTTTTTTTTTTTTTTTTTTTTTTTTTTTTTTTTTTTTTTTTTTTTTTTTTTTTTTTTTTTTTTTTTTTTTTTTTTTTTTTTTTTTTTTTTTTTTTTTTTTTTTTTTTTTTTTTTTTTTTTTTTTTTTTTTTTTTTTTTTTTTTTTTTTTTTTTTTTTTTTTTTTTTTTTTTTTTTTTTTTTTTTTTTTTTTTTTTTTTTTTTTTTTTTTTTTTTTTTTTTTTTTTTTTTTTTTTTTTTTTTTTTTTTTTTTTTTTTTTTTTTTTTTTTTTTTTTTTTTTTTTTTTTTTTTTTTTTTTTTTTTTTTTTTTTTTTTTTTTTTTTTTTTTTTTTTTTTTTTTTTTTTTTTTTTTTTTTTTTTTTTTTTTTTTTTTTTTTTTTTTTTTTTTTTTTTTTTTTTTTTTTTTTTTTTTTTTTTTTTTTTTTTTTTTTTTTTTTTTTTTTTTTTTTTTTTTTTTTTTTTTTTTTTTTTTTTTTTTTTTTTTTTTTTTTTTTTTTTTTTTTTTTTTTTTTTTTTTTTTTTTTTTTTTTTTTTTTTTTTTTTTTTTTTTTTTTTTTTTTTTTTTTTTTTTTTTTTTTTTTTTTTTTTTTTTTTTTTTTTTTTTTTTTTTTTTTTTTTTTTTTTTTTTTTTTTTTTTTTTTTTTTTTTTTTTTTTTTTTTTTTTTTTTTTTTTTTTTTTTTTTTTTTTTTTTTTTTTTTTTTTTTTTTTTTTTTTTTTTTTTTTTTTTTTTTTTTTTTTTTTTTTTTTTTTGCCCGGTCTTTATGTTTTTCGTCCATAGAACATTTCTGGAATCAAATAAAATGCCAATTTCGGTCATCTACGAGTGTGAGAAATATGTTGCGTCGATTGCAAAATCTATGACAAATCTTTGGCAGAATATCATACGGCGCTTGTATGTCTCCATACCCGATATATCGCTATATGTATCTAGGCAAGAGATCCTAGAAGGTACTAAAGGTTCTTTAAAATTGTATTGTTGTTGTGCAGGAAATCGTCCTCTTTCTATGATATTGTAATCATTTATTACAATACCATCATCATTACGTTCGCACCAATAAAATTTTATTTGGGTCCAATGTCTTTTGGTGCGTAGTTTTTTCTAAATAAGAGTTGTTACTATCGATATTTAAACACAATATTATTTTTGTAATTAGTTTAAAAGTATCATTATATTGATTACGTAAGAAAGAAATCAAAATAAAGATCTTTTTCTGGACAATATTTTAATCAATAAGAAGTAATAGAATAAGATATTAAAATAACGACTCCTTGTAAAGTTGAAAAATAATATTATAAGCTTAATTTATTATAAAGATCATTATAAGTAAACTGAAAAGTGGATTTTAAATAAAATTTAGAAATAATAATATATCATCTAGTCTATAATATGAAAAAAATCAATACGGGGAAAAACATTTTTTAACTAAATTTATGTAAATCTACTATCAATATGCATAAATTCAGTTAAGATATTTATATGAATACTTTGTATGAATTATTGACTACTTTGGAAAGAATATGCAATAGAAAAGTTATTTGAAACGATTCTTTTGTATGTAAAACAACAGCAATCGTTATTTCGAATAAAAGGAAGGTTATCTATTGTAGCTTCAGATAGTTTGAGGCGTGATAACACTTTTATCGCGTATTTTTATGTGCGATAGCGACTACTGTATTATGTTATCATGAGATATGCAGAGACGTTTACAAAATAGTTTCCAAGCAATAACTTTTTGATATTACATTCTGACGTTTTTATTAAAAATTCTTCATTGGATTAATGTTGAAATTAAAAATTGGATAAAAATAACAAGTAATGACTAATTAAAAGTTGTAAAAAATTTTAAGTTAATTATATAAGGGAGAACGTTAATAAATTAATAACGGTGAGACGTTGAAGAAAATGGATTTAAAAAACCGAAAAGATTCTTATAGAAATAAATAACGTTTTTCTAAATTAAAAAGATGAAAGGTCTAAAAATGCAGAATAAGACTGTGTTAACTATTATTCATTGATTAAATAATTATTAAGATAGTTCAAATAGATATATTATACCCTAATTTTTTCAATAAATCATTATGCAATCCTCAAACATTTAGAGATCTTTTATCTACTATATTTATCCATATTCTATGTTTATAATTTTATTTTATTTAAATCTGTCATTTATGTAATCTTTGAAAGTCATTTCGTTATTTAGAATATATATTCTAAAGTATATACTAGTACAATTAATTAATATACTAGTATATATTCTATATACTAGTATATTAATCTTCTAAGTTTATCCAATCACAAGAAACATATAAGACTAGCCTTGAGATCAATTTATGACATCTAAAATTGCATTAAAAATTTAGTATACTCTTATAAGAATTTAATAAGAAAAATACAGTAAATACATAGTTTGATGTAGAGATTATAAATTTCTCGGAAGAATTAATTGCACAGATTTCACATCGTTGAGTATGTCACACATTTTTGTTAAAGTTCTAGTTAATTAAATTGTAATAGTGCAACTTAATTAACCTTAAAGTCAAAATCTATAACTGTTGTTATAAGTTGCAAATACGATTAATAAAGTTCTCTAAATTTTAAATGACGAAACGATTAAATAATGATTAATATGTATTTTTCATTTTGAAAGCTAAGAATAAATTATGAAATAAAATTTTACGGTGTTTTACGGTGTATGTCTTACTTTTTTATATATAAAAATGGAATACAGATATGATTATATTGTTTAACTAATGAAAATAATTTTTGAGGAGAAATATAGACTATTAAGAAAATTGAAGACCATCTCGACAATAACAACTCTTAATCTTTATAGTAGACACTGATTGAAAACAAACTACAATACTCTCTACATGTAAGAAGAGAAGCATCAAAAGAAAACAAAATTGGATTTCAAAACTTTCGATAAGATTTCTAAGAATTCTCCAAAACAATCTACTTTATAGACAACATCTCGAAAATTTAGTAAGACAGGAATAAAACTATCTTCATTTCCTTTCATATATATTAATTATAAATAATTATCACATATGAAAAAGTATTAAAAGGTCAACATTATAATCATTCAATTTTATTTCTTTGTTAAATACATTTTACTAAGACCTTTCTTTCATTAATTATAGTGATAAGATGAGACTGTAATAATACTTCTGACATTATAGTCATCAATTAGATGCTTAACAGATAAGAGAACTAAGTTTTCATTTGTAATATATCTTTTTATCTGAATGTTACATAAGCCATCTAATTTACAAGTATCAGAAGTATCATATAAATAAGCGTACGTTAATACCTTATTTTAAAATTCTATACTGTATATAAATATATAGAAAACGTGAATTATTTTTAATATTTTTGAAAAATAAAATTCAATGACAATGTTGCATGATTCTCTTTAAAAATTTAAAGTAGACTCGCTTGAAAAATTTTATTATTGTGAAGATACGACTTTGTCTGCAAAAATAATCCTAATTACACATCGTAAACATATAGTATAAATAAGAGTTAAAAGATATTTTATATTATTTTACATGTAAAATCCTTTTCTGTATTTTATTATAGTAACAACATCTAAAAATGATAATTTTCTTAAATGATCCTATTTCATACGAAGCACGTTAATCCCCTTTAAGCTTTATCGGGTTGAAGTATAGAAGCTGCAAGATCGACAAAAATCGATTTGTAAAATGCAAATTAAACAACGTAAATCCTAGAGTATTTAATAAATTTTACCTTATGCAAACTCAGTTGTAATTAGCGCATCCAAATTCAAATAGACCAATAGAAATAAAGTTTAAAGAGGAATTTATCTATTCGTAAAGTGTTTAGTGATGTAAACTTAAGGATATTTTAACAAGTCAAACACTAAATTTACAAACATATTATTGTTTGCAGATGAAACATGCCAACGTTACGTCACATAAATGATACTTGACTCGAATACAGTGAAGAAGATCGTTGCTATGAATACAAAAACAGGATTTCTACTTTTAGTAGAATGGGCTATATGTCACCGCTGTTCTCGATAAGAATAAACAAACATTTGCTGAAATGACTATCTTATAAAATTATTTCAAAGAAAAAGGTTAAATAATGTATGAAAATATAATAGTAATAGCTTTATAAATCAAGAAAGAGATGAAAAATCTAAAATCTCGAAGTCAGTTGCATAAAAATATATGAACACATGCACATAAATCAAATATAAAACTTTATAATAAATTTAAATTTATAAATTATGAATAAACAGTAGCATAGCTNTATTCGAATTATATCATATGATATTGTAGAGATTTGTAAATTGTCAGAAACATAAAAATATCATTTAATTTTCTTTAATAATTGTTGAAACTTTGCCAATAAAAGTACTAGAGACAAAAATAGGTATAGTCTAGGATCAAGAATCTAGGTTTGACAATGATTGATCTCATATATGAAATCAATCCTCATGAAACCAATTATCATTAAGAAAATTTGCAATTTACTTCTGTTTATCAAGCATTTACATTTTATAGGTCATATTGATAGAATGATTTTATATTTTATTTTATTTTTTTCCAATTGTGAAAGATATTTTTGTTTAATGAAGGCTATTTCTGAAGTTTGAACTTTATAGAACATCCAGACTATAACTGTACTTACAGAGGACTTTAGATTCATGTAAACTTTTTAAAATTTATCAACCAATTTCCATAATAACACGTTACTCTGCAACTCAAAAAGTGATAACATCTGTTACAGATACACCCCAAAACACGATAACGATTATCCAAATGATTAAAGTTCCGTATAAAATTGCTTGATTTACTCTTTTTTATCTTATTTTCAGGTATAAGAATAATGAATTTCGGAAGAATAGACGAAAATTCTTTCAACTTAGAATATTCTTATCCATTGTGTGCCGTGCAAGCATTTGGAATTGCTCTAGCTAATGTATTGTCCAACTGATAATAACATGCAGCTGGATTGTAAATCTCTTCTCTTCTTACAATCCTGAAATGGACTCTCGTCTAACGACATCGAGAATCGCGATTTTAGATGTATACTCACCATTTTTGTTTTCCTTTTTTAATTTGTAACTTTTATTCTAAAAAGAAAAGGATAAACTTTCGAAATTTTATTTGTAAACAATAGTTTGAACAAATTTTTTAACTTATTATACTTGTAAATTATATTTATCCAGCCAGTCGAATAACTGCCGTGGATAAATATAGATTAATAAAGTAACGAAAATAAAAATAATTTACATATCGATTATTTTAAAGCGACGAACAAAGCTAAATATTTATATATTCATGAATTTAAAGGATTGTGCTTAATTTTTCATGCATTTAGTCATTATTTGTTAACAATAAATGAAATTTTACATATTTGAAGAGTAGATAAACATATTAAAATCTTATTAATAGTTATTATTTAGAGATGGGTGAATATCATTTTTTCGTATTTGAATATTAACTGGACTTCGTACCCCGAATACTTATTTTAATTATATGATATAATTTCTTTAGTTAATAATGTATTCAATATTTATTATTTAATTTGTTTTATTTATTTTAATATATTAATAAATTAACATATTAAAAACTATTTACTACTGGAAAACTTGAAAGAATCCGATATTTCACATCTCTAATATTACGTTAATAAAAAGAATAAATTTCAATATTATGAATGCCTCCAATATCACACTATACGTACAGTACAGTCACAATGACCAATTCAGAAGTACCAGAGAGGAATAAGTCAAAAATTAAAAATATTTGAATAATTACAGAGTACTTACTAAGAATTACAGGTGCTCGGGGTATTCAATTATTCGAGATCTGGTTAATATTTAATTCGGGAAAAGCGATATTCTACCATCTCTACAATTTACTAACTTTTGAGAAATGAAACTTCAAACTTTTAATTTGACTTTGAGCTTTAAAGTAGCTTCTTCAGGCACTCTTATCTCAACTATACTCCTGTACGAAATTAAAGCAATACACACAAATATACTGTACAGTACAATATATGGCAAAAACACAGAAATGAATTGCCTTCCATCTCAATAAATCATCCAAATACGTTCTCTGAGGCATGCCTGATAAACTAAGATGTATCAGGAACACTTCCTCACTGTTAGCAGTCCTAGCACATGACTGATTATCAAAAAAGATTTTGCTGTATACATATATATACAACCCATCACAATTTGTCGCACGGGTGTACTGCCATTGTACTTGTACCTTATTTGCATGACACTTGAGTGATAGTATAGTACTTTGATGATTTACATATGATCTAAGATTAAGGTATTCACGTTTTATGGTATTGATTTTACACAGGTTTTGTGTTTATTACTTTAACTATGGACACCATTGTACGATAGGCTAACAAATAATAGTTCTCATTCTCATCTACTGCACACTTTTATTTACGAAAATAAGAATTGGAAAACGTTTAGGATATAGTCTGCGTCTTTTCTTGTCACAAATTAAACACGAGATGTTAAAAAGATGTTGTCTGTGTATGTAGCAGCGGAAAAAGGGGAAACCATTGACACCAAAAAAAATATTATTTGTTCGAACTTTATGATGGCAAATATGGTTTATATGACCATTTTGCAAAACAATCGTCGTGCTAGTGTTAATAAAAGACATTTATTAATAATTCAAATAACGTTTATTTTTGTGTCTCTTCGGGTACTTCTGGATCCTTCGCTTTGACTTTACACATGGAACGATATCGGAGGTAATTGTAGTAATCGAATTTATTTTACATCAACGTAATATTCGCGATTTCGAATCTCGAATACTGGAAAGTATTCGAACATTCGCGAATAGTATCTACCCATTTCGACTACACCGTCTTATATTACAGATATAAGACTTAAGATTAATATAACAGATGATTTTGAAGTTGTTATAAGCAAAACTTTTGACTATAAAACTCGAATAAAGTTTAACAACAGTATTGTTTTATACAAATTCACTTCACTAAATTATCTAAATTATGTCATATCAATTTTCTATTTGAGATGATATCAATTTGCATTCTTGATCAAAATTCAAAAACATTTATGTTAATTTCACAAACAAAATTACCTGTAATTACGTTCTTTAAAATGTAACTAATTTTAAATGATCATAGTGCTAAATGCGAAACTTTATGTATATTCTGAATATGATGCAATGTATTCGATTAAAGAATACATAAAAATGTACAAATGCGTATTGTAAACAATAAAATACGAAGTGTTCACTTGTAATAATTAAAGATATTCTGAAATGCAACAAGAACTTTGTAAGGATTAAAAACAAAATGCATTACTGTTATTTTCCGTATTGGATTACATCAAAACTTATTAATATTGATACGTAAATATGATATATTTATCATTCCAATTTTATTATTTATTTTCTTTTAAATTATGGTTAATCATCGATTAACGACACATATTCTACGAGTATTTTACAAACTGAACTTGAAATGTGAAAACAATCGCAATCTGGGATTCGATTTTTCGTGAAAAAAGTACTATAGGTCTATAAGAAAAAATGTAAAATGTAAAATACTTAAACTATTGCTATTTTCAAAGGAATTTTTAATATATTACATCCTGAAAATGCGCAATATAAATTATAGTTAGTTACGATAAAATATATTCATCTGTAGCATAAGGTTTTATATAAAGTGCATGTCATAAAAATATTCTTGAAATAAATTTTTATAGTTAACTAATATGCAAATTAAAACATTATCAAATAAATGATTGTAAATAGAAATAATTTGCTCGTACCTAGTAAAACTTTTGTAATGAATATAGTAATAACAATGAAAATATTAAATGAAAATGCTTACGTACTGTACTGTACATTCAAAACATCTGCTTCATTGTTGAATTTGACAAGTACGAGTAAGTTTAAGAAGAAAAACCATTATTTTTGAGCTAAAGTTTTGAAAAGCTAAAAACTCATCACCTGTCATCCTCTTTTGATTATTTTTCTGAACGATTTGGCATGATATCTTATATCTAAAATAACAGATAAGAATTCTGTCATCTAAACTTATGCTATATTTAATTATTTTAAATGGTTTTTGAGTTCAAAATATGTTTTACATATTAAAAAAAATAGAAGCGAGAAAAAAACATAATTTTCATACTCATTAATAGAAGCTTTAATTGGGGTTAGACTTAAACTTATTTTATTAAGTTAAACACTTTAAAAAGTTATTTGAGTTCTCGAAAATATAATCTATAATTTGATAAAATTTTTACTGTTTAGATGATTAGATAATTATCTGCTAACGATAGAAAATTCTTACAAATGAAATTTATAGTGATACTTAATAAACAAGCATACATTCTTCTTCTAGTTCTATATCAAAAGTAAATTACAATGAACGGCAAGAATGAAGAAAGTAAAATATGCATATCTTTAAAGTCTTCTATTTCTATTTATTATCCTGTATGTATTTGACTGCGAATAATGTCTTTGACTGCGTTGTATAGAAATGCTAAGTATTCCTATATAACGCAGTCAAAGACATTATTCGCAGCTGACAGAGTTTGGAAAAAGCCATATGGTCGAAGAAAGCAGGATGGCCGTTTCGTTAAATTTCCCTCCATTTAGCCGTTATGACTTGACTGTGAACAGTTGTTGGGGCAGCGGAACATGAGGGCACACATAACACATACACGGCGGCCAGGTTCTGGATGCCCCAGACAGACCACCAAGTGAGATGATCGTCTGATCGTGAGACAAGACAGCTGCAGGAGCATGCTTACCTACCATCCTGAGACAGGTGAAAGCCTCGCTACGGAACTTTGTCTCTTTCCATATTATTGGCAGGCGACCACTAATGTGGAGACCACTTGTAAACTGCCTGTACTGCTGAGCAGTACAGGCGTCTGAGAAACCACTTCGTATGACGTAAATCACCACTGGTCAGTCAGTCGGTCAGACAAAATAATCTTTATTGTCCGACACCACTGAGCACAGCCAGGCAGAAATACAGAAAAATACATAGTAGATATACGTTGTTAGTCATACAAGGGATACAATAATATAATGGCAGAGAAAAGGGAAAGTAAAATAAAATAAAATAAAATAAATGAATTAAAATAAATCAAAATAAGAAGAAAATTAAATAAAAGACTAAAAAATAAAAGAATAAAAATAAAAGTAAACTATAACTAAAGTAACATTGTTGTACCTGTACATGCTGTTATAATAGAGCAATGCGTATGTATACATTGGCACCAAGGCTANAGAAGGTACTAAAGGTTCTTTAAAATTGTATTGTTGTTGAGGTCAATGAATCCCATATCTAATAGAATAGAGTGAAACAAATTCCTTTAACAAGTTAAAAGTTGCTGTTGCTTTGTAAGAAAAAAATCAGGCTTTACTGGTCAGTCTATATTGTTCATATTGGCATTCTGCATGCACTGATGACTGATGTCATTCAGCATAGACAGTTCTATAAACAGTGCATGACACCGTCCCGCACCCCACAGAGCTGACAGAAGTCAGAATTAAAGTACAGTAATAAAATCTTTTCAGGTAAACACGAAAGCGCCCGTGTTCTGTCAAAAATTGGGCTAAATCATGTGTGGGTTAAATCCATTTGCTGTGAACACGTTCCTTCACCTTTGGGATAAAACGTCTTGTTATATGTTGTTGTGGGATCTCGTCCCAATTCATCTAGAAGATCTCTAAGGCATTGTTCAAGATAAGGTATTTAAGTCTTGACTTAGGAATGAGATTGTAAGCAGGAGGAGTAAGAAGATTAGGCGTTACGTTTTGCGCCAGAAAGTCAGCACGGAATGCCGCTGTGTCCTTTGATCCAATTGATGGCATACTCGTTAAAAGACGTAGAAGTTGCAGCGAAGATGTCATTCGCAACATGGTGAGTATTATCATTATTCCCCAAAGCATCAACAGTCGCAGTATTGTCTGTGAAGATGTTTATCAGTTTGTTCACAAAGTTAGTGTTGTACCAGTTGATTGCCATCAATACAGCGAAGATCTCAGCTTGGAAAACAAGACCATTCCGGGTGTAGAGCAAAGGAATCATTGTAAACCTCTTCACGGGCCTGAAAGATCACAAAGGCACTTGCCGTGTCATCCGTTGATTTGGATCCATCTGTAAAAGCTTCAATCTCTGTACGGTAACACGAGGA